AAAAAAAAAAAAAGCATTTTTATGTCAATGGAACTTAATCGAGATCGAGAGAATGTGGGCTTACGAGATGCCTGAACCATGGCCTAGCCGGTAGCCCCTCCGAGTCCAAAAACCCTCTCTCGGTAAGCATTAGTCGATCATTTAATGCTCGTCTCCTTAAAACCGTAGATTCATCTACATCCCGACACATCCTCAGTTTCTAACATTTTGAAATTCCGATAAGGACGAAATTAATTAAAAATCAGCAAAACGCGCGTAATCTTATTCTTTTATATTATCAATGCTTTATTATATAAGATTATATTTAGTTTTAATCTGACTCAAACCTGAACTTCTTCCTCTGTCTCATTTGCAGCAGAAGTGAATTCTCGGATGGCGGCAGTAATGGGACTCAACGAGATGGTCCCGTCTAACAAAGTGCCGAGGACATTATTATACTCCTGAAGTGTACATTCAATCACTGTTTTTATTATATACATAATAATATAAAATTTTGAAAATACACGAGCATTTCTTTTCTTTTCTTTTTTTCATTTGTACAAAAATAGTTATAGAAGAAAACGATCACCTGCAATTCATTGGCGTATGATAAGTAATTAAAAGGCAAAATCAGGTCATCGGCCAGGTTAAGCGCAATAAGTCCCCATATTCCTGCCACTGAAGCCCGAGAGAGAGAGAGAGAGAGAGAGAGAGAGAGAGAGAGAGAGAGAGAGAGAGAGAGAGAGAGAGAGAGAGAGAGAGAGAGAGAGACAGAGAGAGAGAGAGATTAACATCATAGTTAGCACAATGACTTGTAAATAAAATAAACGAGTGTTCGTATGAAATAAGCATATCAGTCACAAGCAGAGACAAATAAAACGAGAACTAACTAGCCACGTGTCGATGAAATAAGGGGTCTCCATATCTGATCATCCAATCATATGAGTCGAAAGCCGTGTGATAAACCGGAAAGTCTGAAAGAAGATGAGAGTTTTACTTTGGGTGAGCCAGCAAAAAAACACAAGAATTGCTTTGTAAGAGGGAAATAAATAATAAAAACAAAAACAAAAAAAAAATAAAAAAAAAAAAAAGAATGTTGCACTAAAAGGATGGAAATAGAGATAATAAGTACCACTTCCAAAGTATAAGTCGGCAGATGGGATCCCGGCATGCTGCAAAAATGGAGCAAAATCTGAATCGGCCCTACTAAGCCTCTCAATCTTCTGCTCGACAAAATAATGGAAATTAGCAGCTTTTTTTCTCATTTAACAAATATCATGTCTAAACTATAGACCTGTCTCTTTAAGTGTGTGTTATTTGTCACAAGCTTAAAGAAAGTGAATGTCAGCTTTCGAGAGGAATAAAAGGAAACAACTTCAGTGATTGCAAATGTCGAACTTCACTTCAGCTTCCATTTGTTCTTCATCTAAAAAGTGTTTTTGGTATTTTGAAAAAAAAAAAAAAAGAACACTTTACTTTGATGCCTTTGCTTGCAGCTGTCCACCGTTCATGTAGATATGTATTCTTCGAGTCGGGATCTTTAACCTGAGTGCAGAGAAAACACAATGCAGCCCATAAACTGAAAGAATTCAGTCTAGCAGTTAAATTTCATTTTTTACATTTAACTCTACTTACCTGCTTTGTTACCTCGACAAGAAGGTCATCTAGCTGTGGGCTTGCACTGACAAAAAGGCCGGGCCCTTGGGCCGCACAATCCACATTAATGTATGCGACTGCTTTCGAACCGAGATTAATAAGGTTCTGTTCTACCCATTCTGTAGATCCAATCTGAAAAAAAAAAAAAACAGAAAATAAAAATGAGTTGGGTTTTTCTATGAAACCTTCTACATAAGTTCAATCACTTTACGAAGAATGTGCTATACAGTTGACCACAGGAAAAGTGAAGACAAACGTAAAACGGAACTAATTTTACCGGTATAAGATGAAAATTTCTATAGAACGAGAAATTCAACTTCTACCTAGAGTAACTTTATTTGATATTTTCAAAACTTAAACAGTACCCCACAAGTCATTCTCGTTTTTTCGTAACCTCAAATACCAACTTCAGCTACTGATTATTGCAAAAAAACCAATCATCAGAATCTAAAAAAGTCAAAAGAAGATGTGCTTCCTATCACAGCCTCTGTTGATTTACTCATCTTTTAGCATCTATCAGCAAAACAGTACTAACTTCTTCTCATTCTCGAATATCGTTTGCATCTACTTCAAATAAACAACCTCATAGAAAAAACGGAAGTTTATTCCAAAACAATATACACCTACCATTCCAAATTCTTCGGCGTCCCAGCTGCAAAGAATGATTGTTCTTCTCGGGCTCCAACCCGAGCGCATGAGAAGAGAAAGCCTTCGTGCAATGTCTAGCAAAACAGCTGTCCCGCTATTCGGGTCGACTGCACCATAAGTCCACGCGTCTCTATGATTTCCTAGAAGAACCACTCGATCGGGTTCTTCCAGTCCTTTAATGACAGCAAATACATTATGTATGCTTGCCATCTTTTTCTCACCCTACAAAAAATAATTTCCAAATGCATATTAATTGGTAATATATCTAACATTTGTGAACATAAAAGCATCATACAGAAGCTTGAAAAAAGACTCAAAATGTTTTTTTCATTCACTCCTCTCGACAGTTCATCGTCTTATAAATGAACTGATCGCAGTCGGTTTTCACAAGCTGATCCATATATCGAAAGTCAACAACTGCCAATTAAGCTTACATAGCTGGTTGCGAAAGACTCCATGTAAGAACAAACAGGACAGGAAGTAAAACAACAAACAAACAAACAACAAAAGTCAAAATCCAATTTGCAAAGAAATCGTGTTTTTAATCGAAGAAATTTATGTCATGTCATATAGAACACATAACAGTAATCAAACAACGTCACCCAACTTCATCAGAAACATTTCTCTTTCGTTTCAATTGGTAAAACAAAAATAAAAATCGAATCTTGGAACTCCAATCCAAAACGGCCCACAAAATAGTCACTGAACCAAACCTCATATGTGAAGTTGAGCATAGTTGGGCCGGGCCCAGCCCGGTTAATTCTGCTAGCGCCGCTCGGTAACCCTTCCCTCCACTCACGGGGCAGACTCTTCCCCTCTAACGACCCGAGAATAATCTCTGCCGCCGCTTCTGAAATAGGCAACGACGGCACGCCGGGAAATCTCTCCGTCACCCGCGGGTCTTCCGGCTCGAGCCTCTCGCCGCCTTCAATTCCAGCCCAACCGGGGCTCAGCGGGTCCCCCAAACCCTTCATAACCGTCCCCCTCTCAAACCCTTCCCTGTACTCTCCCTCAGTGTACATCACTACCGCCGACAGCCCGTGAGCCGCCGCAGTCGCCGCCACTTCGTTTCTCGACATCCCCGACCCCCGGCGGACTACCCCGACGCAGCCACCAACCTCCACGCCTAGCGCGCGGTAGTCCTCCTCCCGGCCGTAGTTGAGGAAAACCGCCTCTCCGTACGCGGAGCCGGAGGGGGAGTAGGCGTGGTAAGGCGGAACGACGCCGCTGTCCTCGGCGGCGCCGGGCTCCGAGACGGGGAAGGCGAGCGCGGTGCCGTTGCTAAAGTGCACCGACAGGGACGAGCGCGTGGGGTAGGAGAGGAGGGCGGAAAAGTCGGCCGTGCGGGTTTCCAGGCCGAGAGACTGGAAATGGGACCGGACGTAGTCGGCGGCGGAAAGGGAAGGGGGGGTTCCGGCAAGGTGGGGGCGGAGGGTGAGATGGCGGAGGTAGGTGGAAACGGTGTAGTTACTGGCGGTGGAGAGGAACGTGCCGCGGAAGCGTAGGGTGTCACGGGAGTAACCGACGGCGGCGGCGGCGGAGGCGGAGGGAGGAGGGCTGCGGTGGTGGTGGCGGAGGAGGGCGGTGTAGAGAGCGAGGATGGAGAAAGTGAGGATGAGGAGGAGAGTACATGTGGGTTTCGGAGAGGGTTGCATTTTCCGGCAGCGATGGATACGCCGGTGACCACAAAAAGAGCCGCCTTTTGAATTTACGACAGAGATTATCGGCAATTTTTGTACTGTTAATAATTCGAGTTATTTTGCAGGTTTTATAAAATAATACTGTCACCACTGAGATTATTTTAGATTATCTAAAATATTCGAATTTAATTTGTACAATCCCCAGCCTTGAACCGGTGTTGACCAATGTTCAAGTTGGTCATTCGAATCAATCTGCATTTAGTCGAGTCGAAATTCAGTGAATTTAGATATCGGCTCGCCGGGTTTTGGCCCGAGTTTATCAAATATTTGAGTTATTAAACGAATAGAGTGCTCGTGGACTCGACTTGTTAATGTTTGAATTTAATTGGCATCGACTCATTTATCAAGTTCAAGTTTGTTTAACAGATCGTTTAGGCTTAGCTTGTTAAAATTAGTTAAGCTTAAGAAATAATAAAGTTTGGTTAATTTAAGGCTTGAATTTTATACTTTTTCAAAAGAATGCTTACATTTTAGATTATTCTCACTTTAAGGCTTAGTTTTTAGTTAACTTTTCATTATAATGCCCAACTAACTTTACTTTTTCATATAAATATGTAAAACAACTATTATGTGAATAAAAATATTATTATTATCATTATTATTATTATTATTATTATTATTATTATTATTATTTTATAATTGATATTTTACATACTTATAATAAAAAATAATAAATCTTTAGTAAAATTATAATAATAAAAAATGAAACTATATAAATTACAATGATAAAACATTGGAATTACAATGATGGGAAACTAAGATAGTAAAATTATATTAATAAAAAATGAAACTATGTAAACATCTATTTCCAATGATGTAATTTTTAATTGTTAAACTTTTTGCATATATATAATTTATATAATTTCGCATAATTGTAATTTATATAGTTTCTTTTTTTATTAATATAATTTTGCTAAAGATATTTATTATTTTTTATTATGAGTATGTAAAATATAAATAATAATAATAATAAATAATAATAATAATAATAATAAAACTTTTATTCACATAATAATTGTTTTACATATTTATATGAAAAAGTAAAGTTAGTTGGGTCTTATAATGAAAAGTTAACTATAAAGTAAGCCTTAAAGTTATAATAACCTAAAATGTAAGCTTTCAGTTGAAAAAGTATAAAATTCGGGCCTTATATTAATAATATACTAAAAGTTAGGCCTTCCAATAGAATTTCCCCTAATAAAGTTTACCTAATTTTTGGAACTTTTAACTTAGTTCGACCCGTTAAGACTCAAGTTGTGGTAGTTGAAACTCAAGTTAATTTGTCTTGTTAATTTTTATTTTATTAAAATAAAATCAAACTTGATCTCGTTGATCACTTAATAAAGGGTCAAGCTCGGACTCGATAGGAGCTCGACCCGGCTCATTTAAACTTTAAAGTTTAAGGTATGTATGCATAAAAAAAATTTCAAAAAAAATTCCAACATCATAACTCATCCACTTTTTTTTCAAGTCAACTTTAACTTAATCTCACTATCATCAATATTATCAATATAATTAAATAATATCAATCAATCATGCATACACACCACATCAACATTAATTTTCTATTCATCAACTCACATCATTTTAATTAATCATCATTTCAAATCATCTATCTCGTACGTTTACATCAAATTAATTTTAAGTATTTTATTTTAAATGTTATTTAATATACTTACTAACTAACTATACCAAACTACACCACATTTTTCAGAGTTAACCAAACCAAGTCAAAAAAAATCCAACAACACCAAAAATTTTATATCCAAACATGCTCTTATTCACTACAATATTGATGAGCTCGCTCAATGAATGAGATCAACTCAATAAGGAATCGAACACGAACTCAAGTACTAAGAGTTCAAGCTCGACTCGACTTGTTTGCAGTTCTATCAACTGCAACGTCGTTGGCTCTATTAGTTGACGGGTTGGCTCAATAAAGGGTCAAACTCGAACTTAGAAATCAAGAATTCAAAGTCGACTCGACTCGATTCATTTACAACTCTATGAACTACAACATTAACCAGTTTGATTAGTTAACAAGACCCTTTAATACAAGTTAAGCTTGAGTTTGAGAACTAGAAAAGCTTGAACTTTTGACTTAGCCATACCTCTATCACTGCAAAAGTGAATGATAGTTAAGTTTGGGGG